CTGTGCTGATGCTGAGAGATGCTTTGGATGCTGTTAGTATGAAACAGAGTGAAGTGTTAGCTAAGTGACAATGAGATGTGAGTGGGCAATCTTACGTTAGCAAGATAGATCAATGTTAGGCTGCACAGAATGATTTAGAAGAAACAGAAAAGGGAGAAACGGGCAAATCTAATGCCCTGCCGCATGGTCTAGTTTGTACCATATTTGAACCTGCAATATTGCATTAGCATCAGTACCTTACACTGTTAACACACACACACATACACTGGAGAATGCTCTGAGCAAAATAAATGGAGATCTGCTCCAAGAGAAAAGGACTTTAAAAGCCTTGGATAGCTGGGGCAAGCAAAATATCCAAACAATCAGTGAAAAGCAGGGTAGGACACAACAGCAGCTCCACAGTCAGAGTGAGGAAATGCTCATGCTACAAGTAAGCGTGGGGTCCTAGCTTCGAATATAGACAAGGGCTGTTTGGGTCCAAACGCTACTGAGTCCAGATCCAGAACTCTCTTCAGTCAAAGTGGAAGGAGATCTGCCGTCTGTGACACGTGTGCCAAGACGAAGCAGAAGTATTAATGAATGCCACTGGGGGGACAGCTGGACAAAAGCTCCTGCGAGTGGGTGTATGTCTTCCTCTTGCGTTTGTTATTTGCATGTTCAACTTACACTGCAGTGACACTTCTGCTTGTGGTCTGCATGGATCTAGACATTTCATGTAGTTCCATGCTCTGGCATTTCCTTCGGAGACCATTGGAAAATTTTACAAGGAACCAGTTGGCTACCGATTCTGTATTTCCCTGTGCTTGGCTAATACTGGCATGCCTCCTGCTTTGTGCACCTGTGCTACTTACAATCACTCATTTCCATTCAGTCTCCCCTCCATATATGTGGGAAAGAAAATAAGGCTTTCAGCATTTATTTCTAATATACCCCGTTTCCCAGCTGCATTTGTCTATTCCCCCAAGGCAAATGCCACACAGGAGAGACTGGCCTGTTCTTCAGCAGCAACACTCCTGCTGGCTCTAGGGGTGATCTCTTTCCCCCAAAAGCCTTGAAAGCATTCAGGCCTTACAAATCAATCAGTTAGTTTAGGAAAATTCCACTGGAGAATGAGAAGTAGGCTTGAAAAATGTGAAGTTAAATTTCATTAGCTAGTACTTTAGGCTTTCCATGGTTCTAATCTGTCTTGCATGAGATATGCAATTTACTCACAGAGAAGCTGCTTCATTTGCTTCAGCACTCACTATTTAAGAACCTGTGTTGAAGTGGTTACTGTTTAAATGAGGCTTTAAAACGTGACAGTTCAGGAACACACACAAAGAAACCAGTCAAGTCCTGAAACATCCTGCTG